CCCCCCCCCCCCCCCCCCCCCCCCCCCCCCCCCCCCCCTCGCGCACACGCGTTTCAGCCGCTGTACACTGGGTAGCGCTACCATCGCCCCTGGCAAAGTGCCAAGAGGGATCGGCGAGCGGCGCCGCAAAATAGCTTTAGCAGAGAAGCTAGGGTAACAGCCGAGCTGAGTTTTAGCAGTTCCCGGTAACTTTAATCTCACGGTAATTATGTATGTGGCAAGCTAATGAGTCACGAGGCCCACAACGCAACACTACTTTCTCAGTAGGCGTCCTTCTCACCCGCATGCAGGAAAAGACCTGTGAGAACGCTCCCGTTATGTGATCACTGGAAACAACAAAGCAACATCTGTCCATATGGCTAGCGATATCGTGCGTTTTTACGCTAAACTCGCAGACTGTTAACAGCAGGAATGGCTTCCGCACGCAGGGGGGAAAAGGCGTTGTCTGGGATGAAGTTTGCGATAAAACTGAGTATTTGTCATACCTGCGTGCACAGAATGCCACCTCCAATCTGCATTAAAATCATACGTGAATATAGAGTATCCTTGCGAAGTTTCAGCTTCGCCATTTGTCTGGTAAGAAATAGTCACTTGGCTAGAACTATCTCTGAAGTGTCTTCGGTCATGGCGCAAGTACAAATCGAAACAATCTACGCATAAAATTTTATATATGAATAATAAATATTATGACTAAATCTCAGTCAATATTATGACTAAATCTCAGTTTTCGAGTTAGCGTGGTGCCAACTGTGAACATTGACGTGACTGTACGCGTGGCGTAAGCGCGCAAAACAGCTGAATTTGGAATCTTTGACTTATAAAGCACAGAGAATATCCCTGCAAAGTCTAATCTTTTTGTTGTTTAGATCAAGAAATCGTTCCCCGCCAAAGAAATTTGCATATTTTTTTCGGGGGTCCGTACACAAAATCCAGGAGCGTATGAGCGAAGTTTTTAAAACAAGAAAGTGACGCATGGAATAAGAATATGTCCCCAAAATTTCAGCCTCCTAGCTGTCCTGGCTGAGTTGAAAGTGGGTGACAAATTTTCGCTTGCTTCCGAACACATGCACACACTGACGATTTCTTGATAGCATGCGTTTATGCTCACTGGCGTTTATGCGTTTATGTTACACAACAAAATTATTATGGCGACCCGTTATGTGTCTCTCCGGGTATCTCAAGTGCGTGTGTGTCTGTCCGGGTATTTCAAGTGCGTATGTGTCTGTCCGGGTATTTCAACTCGACAAGCAAGCAAGCTTCGGCGCTGATTTACCAGCGAGTCCCCCAAACAAGTGCCACTCTAGGAGCGCGATAAAGAAACGAATTTCACGCACATCTAGGCCCCAGGAAAGTTTCTGGCGCGAAGATCACTAACTCGGTAACCAGAAAAGGAAATGTTCCCAGCTCGTGTACAACTTAAAGATTTCTAATTCTGCCACCAGGTGTTCGTAGTTATTACTTACGACCCTGTAAAAATTTTTAGCTAGAAAATGGCTAAATCGGGAACCAGGAGAGCTGAAAAGCTGAAATTTTAAAGGGATTTTCCCTGACCAAGTGCCATGTAGCTGGACAATTAATTTCCTAGACTTCGAGAACCATTGGAACTCCAAGCGATTTTACAACAGCGCGAAATACTGCAAAAACGCATGGTCGCACGGGCCTGCCCGGTACACGTCGCCAATGATTTTTCAAGGAACGACCGCTAAATGAAAATTGTTCATCTTCATTTGTACAAAATTTACGATATTTTACATTTTTGAGCGCAAAAGATAGGTGTAAAGCAACAAACATTCATGCACTTGACGACCTAAGTATTAAGTATGATATAAAACCGGCAGGCCTGATGCATTGCAGCCTGTGTTCTCACGGCTACACTAATTAATCGATCGACTTCTAAGTAATTCAGTGGATCGACCAGGTGACTGTTTTGGCAGGTCGATCAGTTTCAGTGACTGATCAGTGCAGGTATTAACAAGCAGGCAGATTGTGTGGGCGTTTGTAAAGTGTCATGCTCTCACATGTTCGAAAGCTAGCCTTTCAGTGTAGTAACATAGCTGGTTTCGGATGACCTCGTTTTCAGTGTTTTGAAAGCGAAAGGCCGGAACGAGGGATCGGAGCGGGGCATCGATAAGGATGCACCCTTGATGCTGCTGCTTCTGCTGCTAACAATTCAGAGATCAGATTTGTTAACAAGGGCTGAACAGAGCCACAGGCACTAGCGCCTGAAGTATGTTCATTCGCATCGAACAGCTGAGAGTGGAAACGGCAGCTGCACTCCCCCGCAAGCAGCAGCTTCATCAGTCCATCAGCCCCGCTGCTTTTGCCATCGGCGTTGGTCTCCACTAGTGATTTCTCATCAGTAATTTCGAGAACAGCTAGCATTTCACCATTTAGAGGTGCTCTTTCGAATTTTTCTAAATTCGGTTAATTTGACTTAGCAAGCGCAGTATTAGTAATAGCGATGATAGTGTTATCAGTGCAGCCAGGGCCGCCGTCTAACCGTCATCATTTTTCGATTTGTGATTAAACATCCATATAAGTCTATACCACCGATTTTCAGGAACCTCAACTTCGGGATAGCGAACAGTTGAATAAGTGAATGCGGCTGTTTCTATCTTCCCACGTTCGGTTCCACGCTTGTTTTGCATAAACAAACAGTGACGCATATCACAGGCTAGCACGTGTTTACAACAAAATAATGAAAGTTTGCAGTGAATGACGAAACATAATGAAGCTGAATTTACCTCGTCAATATGGCGCTTTGTCTGTCTGTAAACGAAAAAATAGCGAATCGCGCCAAGGCACCGATATGGTCATGCGTTTTGCGCAGTTCCGTCCAACAGAGGTTTGCGTACTAGGGATTTTCACTATTTTACAGTTTGACTTGTGGAAAAATAGTTAATGTGCTGTCTGGTTCCAAGGGAAATTTTCCACCGTGCAAAAGAGCTGAATTTAAGTTTGCAATACTGCACTTAAACAGAAAACATCTTAAAATTTTAACTATCGTTTCTGATTTTCGAATTAAAAACTCTTCACGTGAAATGAGACATAAGCGTGAGACATATGCGAAGATGGCAGTCGATTTTGAAATTCCAAAACTGTATATTTAAAAAAGCATCCATAATTTCAGCTTTCCGTCTTGTTCGGTTTGGAGAAAGAAAATTTCATGCCAGTACACCTATGTGTCTGTACGTGAGACCTGAACATACACTAAAGCTGTATTTGAAATTTTTGTGTCATACATGGAGCTGGAAACTTCCTACAAAACTTCAGTTCCTTAGTTTTTCTAGATCCTGAATTAGTGGTTTTCGCGCCAAAATTTTCATGTGATCGCACATGAGACCTGGACCGGTGCGAAAGCTAAATATGAGTTTGTAGGGTCTTGAATAGGCAGAAAACATTCTCTTGAAATCTCAGCTGCCTAACTTTCCAGAGTTAAAGGTTTTCGTGCCAAAACTTCCAGAAGTTCCTGCATAAGAGCTAGGCTATGTGAAGGCTGAATTGTAGACCTTTGAATCGCGTATGGAAGGGGGATAGCATCTTGAAATTCCAGCTTCCTAGCTTTCACAATTCCCAAGTGATTTTCCTGCCAAAACTTTCACGTGGCTGCACATGAAAATTGGCACATGCAAACACTGAATTTGAACTCACGGGGTCTCACTTAAGCCTAGAACGTGTACACGCGAACTCATGATGCCGCCGAGGTGTGACTATCTTAGGTGTGCAGCTGTTTGCAAATTACAAATGAACGACAAGGACTCGTAGCAATTCAGGTTTGAGGTATGACTGAAGCGGAAGCCACAAGCAGCGAAAAACCAGAAAAGTATGAGGGAGCGATCGACTGGAGCTCGTTGCTGGATGCGGCCAATGATCCGGAACTCGCAGAATTACTCCAGTCACCGGTGGACAGTGCCATTGCTATTCTTAAGTACTACTTTGTCAGTTCATTTTAATTATGTGCGTTTCTCGGAGTCGACTCGCTTCTCCGTGCAATTCATGGTTACTTTAGTCCGCTAAAAGTCTTGGAATTTTAAGCACTTTTAATGAGCCTGTGTCGTACCATCCAGCAGCTTCCTATTCGCTCACTTTACAGAAGCCTCTGTACAGGATATGATATATCTGTGTCTAATCTGCGACACAGTTCCACTTTTGCTGTTGTCCAGTCCTTTCATTACTAAGCGGCGTCCCTTAAAGACGCATTTTCGCATGTGAGATTTTTCTAAGGTTTTTGTTTTCTGGATCCCAATAGTTATGCGCCGTTAACAAGAGAAAAGCTTAGAATATTGTGGTACATAAGACTTTTCATATAAAATTTTTACTGAAAAGCAAGACGAAATACTTGTCAAATTGCAGAACAGGGCGCGAAGTCCAAAAACTGTCAATAATCCGAACTTTGAGTGATTTAATGGAAAACGATGGCGACCAGGTTGTCGAGAAGGTCATGCCACTTGTACAGGTTGCTTGCATTTCACTCATAACAATAGTACTCACCGGTCTTCAGATGCAAAATCCTCTATGTAAACTAATGATAGTATCTACTTGTGCCAACCAAACAATTTTGATGAAAGAGATAAACGTTAATTCACAGTGGGAGGAATTTCGGATCTGCTCATGTTCGTGCTGCAAATGTTGCGCAACAGAAGGGACGAAAATGGAATTCTAAAAATGCGTCTTCTTTAATTTCAAATCAGATATTTTCATTTGATTTGAAACAATGGACACTCTACACAGAGAAATGAGCAATTATTTCTGGCGAGTAATGCTGCCCTTAATTTTTGAAAAGAAAAAATTTCTAACAACTACTTACCAGACGCTTTCACATGTGGATCAGTTGCGCATTCACAGCCATCTGCTCCTTTAGCAAATGAAAATATCCACGAATTCTTAGAACATGTTAGAAATGTGAGCAGAAATGGCAAAGGAGCTCAATCAGGACTGTGCGGTGCAATGCTGAAAGGCAAGCAGTCCATCTGAACTAGGTTTGTAAACAATGAGTTCCCATATTAGGTTGATTTCAAAAAGTCTCCAGAACGTACGTTCAGTAGACGATTTTGCTAATTTTGGGTGGATATCGGGTATGATTTTTAAATATATAATGTGTGGCGCTGGGTAAAACTATAAGTATGTGATTCAGCAAATGTTGGCCGATGAGTATTCGAATCTGGACATGCAGTGCGAAGCCGCTATCTCATACAAGAATATTTATCGAAACAGCAAGCTCACTTTACAGTTCCCGTAAGCTTTCCCATTTCTCTCGTTAACTCTCTGTCAAAAAAAAGCTCGGATGATGATTCCTGAAATAATAGTGTTTGCCAGGAAATTTTTGAAACCTAAAGTCTTTCGAAATTCCTCAGGTTCCTGTTATTGTTCTGGTAAGACCAGTTTCTTGCACACTCAAGTGTATGTTTGCCCACAAGCCATCGCAGCCATGCAAGCATAAACCAAACTCAAAATCACTGGCGACGCGCACGGGGCGGCCCTATGCGATCATGCGTTTTTGCAGTGTTTCGTGCTGCAATAAGATCACTCGAAATTCCGCAAGCTAGGAACTTCTTGTACATACTGGTCCTTGAATTTCGGGAAGTTAATTGTCTATGCTATACTTGGACAGGGAACATCCCCTCGAAATCCTAGGTTCCCAGCTTTCTCAGTTCCCGAGTTACCCAAATTCCAGCCAGAAAATTTCA